TGTGATGTGATCCCACTGTTGTAAACATGCATTTTTAACAAACCGTCTCTCTGTTTTCTTCTGGAGTCACAGGGCGGCTGGAGCCTGTTCCACCTGTCATTGGGCAGGAGTTGAGGTACATCCTGGACCGGTCACCAGACTACACACAGAAAGGCCCCGGTTAGCAGCTGGCCGCAGCACGCTAACTACTGCACCACAGTGCTACCTGCTGCTGCCTCAAGTGGCCGCTAAAAGAACTGCACCATGTGGTACTTCCATAGTGGCGTCATTTTTCAGACCTGAGTCCAGCAGTCTCACTGCTGCTGATGCTTATGATCCAAGGACCAGATGACAGTTTTCAGTGGATGAGCCAACAATGTCCAAACCTGAAGGTTGGTTGGTTGGTTGGTTGGTTGGTTGGTTGGTTGGAACTCAGTGGTGCAGAATTAATTCATTTGCTGGGCTGGATTGTTAACTTAAACTCCCATTGTGTCCTGGCACAATGCAACTTCAGCTTCCACCCCCAAACTAAACTTAAGTTGAAGAATTGCTGTTTTGACACAGCAAATGATGTCCGGTGCACACAGCAGATGTGCATCATGTGGTCATTGAGGAACTTCAGGTTAAGGAAGTGTGAATGGTCCCGCACTAAAAACAAGACTGCCTGTTTGTTTTTTTCTTTGTTCTACTATGCATGACCAATGATCATTTCAAAATGCAGATATGGAAAGGGGAAAAAGGCCATCTGGATTTGATTATTAGGCTGTGCCCTCTACAAATGGCTACTTCCTTACTCCACTTTCTTTCATTGCTGACATCCAGGAACATTCTTAGGGAGGCAAAATGCCACAGAAAAGTAATATAGAGCACTTCTGGACAGATGAGGAGAGGCAGTGACATTTAAGATTCCTTGTTTCTTTTCTGTGGTCGACCCGCCTTAAAGAACCGACAAGTGATTTTCAGCCCGATCCAATGTTTGAAAAGGAACCGTGCACACCCTTCCCATTTCTAAAGATGACAGCTGACATGAGGCACAGTGCTATTCCTTGGCCCATTATTTCAGCTTGAAACCAGCTTCATGCTGAGATATGCTACAGTGAAGCAGCGAGAATAACTACAATCACTGAAAAATGAAATGTCGGAGACTTTCTTTCAGAACCAGTTGGGTGTCAAAAGTCAAGTGGACAGCTGACATGTATGCTAACATGTTGCAAAAAAAGTCTATGGCCTACTCTAAGAGCAGACCTAGGAAACTGAGGTACAATTTTAAGTGGAAAACACTAATTGCATATCTCAGTATTTCTGTACTTTGGACGTCTAAGATGGCCAGAATCCAAAATGATATTCTTTATACATTAGCTTGGGTGTTTCTATCTCATGAAATGCACTTGTGCCTTTTTTGAGTGTTTATATCCCATCAACTAGCTTTGTTCCACTCCAGCAGCACCCGTTAATTAAGCCACCACGGATGAATATATTCTATTATTGGATTCTTTCTGCCAGCGAGTATCCCAAATGTGTCCGAGTCCCCCTGCTCTTCATGAATTGGCAAGATGTAGGGGCTGTAAAGTACATAACAATATGATGGTAATCCTTAACAAAATACAAGAAAATTGGGCCTGAATGTGTTGCCTCCCTCCACTTAGGACTGCACTTCCTTCAGCAGGGACTCACAGGAGATGGATTTATTTATTATGGTGTCTGAATGTGAATAAGCAAGACGTGGAATCAATAGCTCTGTGGGAAAAGTGTGAGGGCCATAGAAATAAAGGGTCAGGCAAAGTTACAAGTAAGGCAATTCCTCCAGTAAAAGTAAGCACAAAAGAAAAGCAGCTCCTTCCATACTGCTGTATAAATTATTAGACAGTTACTAAGAAATTACCACATTAATTAACTGCAAATAGCCTCCTTTTGTCTTCTGTGTTTTGCATAATAAGCTCATTTCAACCTGCCTACTGTGAGCTCTGTTCACTGGGTTTCTGAATACAATTAGGCTTTAATTGTAGGCCTCAATTGAATGAACAGAGGCGTTTGTGGTTCTGCACCTTGGAGGATTTTATAGTATCATAGAGAGAACATGATTCTTCAAGGGTTAGAGAGTGTCCTTAGTTTGAATCTTGAGACTAGGGTAAAAGAGGCAATTCCTCAGTTTCCACCACCAGCAACAGAAGAGATCAGGTGAAAAGTGAAATATTGTAGATTTATAAGGAGAGCTGGGAAGGTCTAATGTAAGCTTTCACTGACTTGTTGTAAGAAAATCTCAATTGTTCTTATCTCAAACGCATCAGAACTAAAAGTCCAAGTGGAAGAAAACAGGTGCAGGAGTTTCTGCACCTGCAGCTCCAAAATCAAGTCAGTCCCCAGTGACTTCAGTGTAAAATGTTCAGTTTTACAGTATTACAAAGCTTGTCTATGGACTGCTACAAAGCATTGTTTTAGTGTCGATCCAATGTTTCCCCGTTCATACCAACTCTACAGTCAGTGATTTTTATTTTTATGTAAATCGGTGATTTTAGAGATGAGACTTTTTCAGGCTTAAAGTTAGGGGCATGATTGCTTTGACTGACAGCTTTGTTGACATGGGAACTGGGTTGTGTTTAGTTAGATTTTTAATGGAATTATCAGATAAAATACGGCTGTTCAATAAGTCTGTGCTTCCAGTACTTCATTTGTTTTTTGCTCAGCACTAATTTACAGGTTTCTGTGCCTTTTGCATGGCTCCCATGAACTTTATTGATGCAGCTTGGTAGCCTTAGCTGATAAGTTGGTACTCCACCTCCTGATTCAAATATGCCTTTAAAGAAAAAGTACATATTAGTGGTTAGCTAAGTGTCCTTGGGCAAGACACTTTACCCGTTGCCTACTGGTGGTGGTCAGAGGGCCCAGTGGCGCCAGTGTCCAGCAGCCTCGCCTCTGTCAGTGCGCCCAAGGGCAGCTGTGGCTACAATGTAGCTTGCCATCACCAGTGTGTGTGTGAATGAGCGCTATACAAATACAGGCCATTTACCATTTGTTTTGGGGCTCGACTTCCTGAAGTGGCAATTTGACAATTTTTGGCTGCTGCGGAGATTGTGCTTCAGTAGACCAAAAATATAAAGACCATTTTGCTTGTTACATAGAAGCTAACTAGAAGTCTTCCAGTTTGATAATGAACAGTGTTGGGAAGGTTACTTTTAAAATGTATTCCACTACAGATTACAGAATACATGCCCCAAAATGTATTTTGTAACATATACTCAATGAGAGTAACGTATTCTGAATACTTTGGATTACTTGATATATTATCATGCTTTTTACAATTACATGAATGTACTATTGCTGTGTGATTTATTACTATTACTGAAGGTTACTCGCCATACCAATACCAACTAGATTTTTAAATCTTAATATAAAATGAGTAACAGTAGGGTGGACATTAGGTAAGGCTTCACCTCATGCGTATATAAAACGGGACCTCTGACTAATACGTCTGGTTCCGTGTTGGGCTCTTAGCCAAAAACTAGCTTTACTTTGTTGTCTGGGTCAACTTTGCTAACGAGAGACAGAAAGAAGCGTTGAAAGGCTGCTATAGTTTGCCTTCATATTAAATAATTATTTGAATAATAATTTTTTTAAATATTTCTTAACGTCATTATGCGGGCCACTGCAAGTAGGGGTGACATGGGCCGCGAGGTTGAGACACAGGCATTAGAGGCTCTTGATGCATGTTTTGTTTGGGTCTCCACCGGTGTGGAATTACCAAAAATAGACATGGCATAGCCTAACATGTCAAACAAAAGACGGCTGTGTAATCCATTTATTTTAACAAACTAACTGTATTCTGAATACTACCTTTTTAAATACAGTTACTCATTTTTGTATTTTAAACCTATGTATTCCGTTACTCCCCAACACTGATAATGAAGTCATTATTTTCCCCTTTCTGACTCTTTTCCTCCCAAATATTTTTCCAGGTGGAAACAGAGGACCTAAACTAAAATAAAGACTAAAAACTGAAACAGTGCCTTGGTGGAATACCCTTATTTTGTATGTAGAGGTCACATTATTCCCAAAGCCACTCCTGACATCACAGTAATAGCTGACATATACGACCTGGTGGGAAGGGTGTTGCCAGGGTTTCTCTTTAACACGCGCATTTACTTCACATTTTGTCTGTACATTCAAGCACATCACAGTAAATGTTTTCAAGGAGAGGCTTTCATGAAGTGCGCTATTATTCCCATTTGTATTATTTATCTAGAAGGACTAGAAGGACAGACTTCTTGTCATCACAGGCAGGATGCTGTAGTAAGAGCTTTTCCCTCCACCACTGAGAGGAGTCCTTTGCAACAGATATAAAGACTTTTGCCTTCATGCATAAATACAGTCAAATAACACATGGCCTAGTTTGTTTGAAGCATGCCGAGGCCTTTAGAATATCATCAAAGTAGTGATGGGATTTTTTTTACAGCTTCCAAACTCAAAGCCTCAAAAGGCATCACGAACCTTTGAAGATTTTTCTTCTATCTTTTAAGTCCCGATGTTACTTTTTCTTCAAATTAACATTGTTTGCAATATACAAGCTTTTATTGTTCCCTCACCATTTTTTTAAAACTTTAAATTCATCATACACATTGCAATCTTCCAAACAGAATCCATTATATCCTCATTTCAGCTGCTCCTGCTTTTGGTCAATGTCCACAAACGCCTCCAGTGAATTCCCAAAGAACCTAAAAAAGGAAAATCAGTTGCAGACAAACATGAGTTTAGACACTGGAACAAGCAGAACCAGTAAGTGAAAAGAGAACTCTTACCACACTCAAAACCATTCACTTGTGTCAGCACTTTGTGGGTCTTTTTCCATTTTTCTTTTCTTTTTTTTTAATACAACACAGCCCCTGAAGCCTTTCAGCTGAGGAGAGGCAGCGGCACTCACCCGGTAAGTGGATAGCCTCTATTTACATTGTCACGGGTAGAAGGGTACCCAGCAGCATATCTCTCTTGTACAGACTGCTTGGGGGCTAATGTATATCAGTTCACGTTTGTGCTGCCTGGTCCGCTGCCTTACAGGCACAATCCCATTTCCAGCTCAATGCTTTATCACCTTGATGACCTGTTATTTATCGCGTTCCATTGCAAGCTGCCACGGCATGAGCAAACCCGATTCTGAATCTTTGTGTTTCCCAATCTCCTCTCCAAAAACGTGAATGCTGTCCTGCAGCTGTGGCATTGGTTCTGAGTCCTGTTTGTGTGCATCAAGAAGACTGAAACCATCAAAGGTTTTTCACTTTGGCTCTTTCTAATGCATGCATTGAAAATAATGGCTATGCCAATATGGCTGAAGCTCAGACCCATGTTACAGCACAGGAGGTGAATCAAGAATTACTGCCTGGACACCCCCACTCTGCCATCACTACCCTATCACCAATAACTCTCCTCACAAACACACTCCTTCCACCCACTACCACTGATGAAAGACATGAGAGAGTGGTGGAAAAATCAGCCATTAGCAAGGAGCTGTAAGTAGCTTCTCAGCAGCAAATTAATGGACTCTTGTTGACTGTGTTTGGCAGCCAGGTACACTCAAGGGCGAAGCTCTCAAAGAGACATAAACAAAATCAAACAGATCAATAAGGCTTTGTCATCTGATGTGATTGTTTTCTTCCAGAGTCAAACCATTCAGGTTTTTGTGAGGTTCTCCTCATCAGCTGTTTCCTGAAAATGTTGTGAAATGAGCATTGAAGGACCACTCAAATAACATTTGGATGATCTGAAGATGCAAATTCACATTAAAGAAACACTGAAAGGGACTATAAATACAATATGATGAAGAAGAGGGCATGTTTGCGTCCTGGTTCCACTAAATTTAGACCAGTGGTGTGTACAAGGTTCTAACCCCGAGTAGCTCAGATGCATCTGAGTGTAAATGTGTGTTATAAAGAAAACACTTATATAGAAAAATAATATTTATATTTTTAAATGTTATGCCAGAGCAAATACACTCTATGTTTAAGATGGGTTTGAGTGAGCTGAGTGTTATCATTCCAAGAGCATCATTGAGGGGATGCCTTGTGTTTTTAAGGCATCTTTAAAATACATGTAATCCATTACTGATGCTCTTTGTGCACTCCAGTGTATTATTTAGAATACTGTCATGCAAAGCGACACTTTGAGTTGCACTTTTTCAGAATCTTGGCAAGAAGAGACAGTTTTGTCTGCGAGGATAGCTACTGACCTTTTGGGATGCTTAGTTAGGTAATATCAGGATGAAAAGGCCTGCCAAGAACATGTAATGATGAGCATGTGATTTCTGGGAAATTCCTCATGGAACATTTGGTCAAAGCAACCAGACTGAGTCCCACCAGCTGTGGGGGTGTTTGCTTGATGTCTGTTGTCATTTATGTCTTCTTGATGCGTTGTTGCTTCTCTGTAATAAAAATCTTTTGCAAAAAAAGATCACAAAAAAGGCAGGGGGAGTAAGACAGGGCTAAATTGTTGAGGCACAAAAAGGGCCAAATGTTGGCACCAGAGGTTAGAATTTGAATCCCTTACCAGCAGTTTTCAATTGAAGACTCAATCCCAGTAAACCATGAGGTAAAAAGAAGATCTTGTGGATGCAGCATTTAATTATAATTGACTTGATTTGGGGCACCTTTTTTCAGCCGTTGGGTGATCCTTTCTTCACACGTTGGAAAGACTTGAAGGCATTTTCCATTTCATATTCATTTCACGTTAACCACCTGCTACCTGAAACCAGTAAGGAAAGTTGACTGCAGATTTAAATCCTCCATTCAATAGAAAAACACACAGTAGATGTAAAGTGAGGTTCCTAATGTGTTGGATAAAACATACGTTCTGATGTAGTTTTGCTGTACACATCATAGTAGATGTTAAATCAAGATGTGATTGGAGTGCACATTTTCAGCTTTAATTCAAGTGTTTGACAAAAACATTTCATTAAATTTTAAGGAATTACAAAAAATTTTATAAGTAGTTCCTCATCTTCAGAGCATCAAAATTAATTGGACGAATGACTGCAGTTTAATGGCTACAGGAGCCTTGTTCCCTTGACAAAATGAAGCTTTCAAAGCTTTTTACTGTAATTGCATATAAAAACAAAATAAACCTGCTGGAGAGACATCAGGAGTGGCCTAATCAAGAGTGTTGTCCATTCTTAAAAATGATGACTATTCTGACCTACTCAGGAACACCGAAATGCCTGAATGATGTCAGAAAACAAGGAAAGTGCATGATGACAGAATTATTTCCAAGGTTAAGAAACACAACAACATAGAGCCAAGTCAAGGTCACTCCCAAAGAGGTGGGTTAACTCTACAATCAACAGATGCCTTCATGAATGGAAATACAAAGGATTTGAAAATTAGACTTTGCCATAAAACACTGCTTTGTAAACTTCTGGAAACCTTTTGGACAGATGATACAAGATGAACCAAATAGGCAGATAAAAGTATGGAGAAGGGAAGGAACGGCTCATGATCTGAAGCATATACGACCATCTGTCAAACATGGTGAAGGCAGTGTTATGATGGCAGGATGTATGGTTGCCAATGGACCTGGGGTCACTGGTGCAGGGCTATATTCGCTGCACAGAATCAGACAAATGCTCCAAAATTAGTTTAACAGGGACGCACGATGCAAAAAGGATCATGACTCAAAGCAAAATGCAAAACCAACATAAGAGTTTCTCAAAGATATAGCACAGATATGTGATATGGAAAATTCAATGGCCAAGGCAATAACCTGATGCCAACCCAACAGAACAGCATTTCATTTATTAAATACAAAACTGTGCTGTTGTGGTGTAGAGGGGCAAAAGTACAAAAATAGTGTCTTTGTCCAACAAATCACTGATCTATCTGTATTTGCTTACCCAAACTCCCTGCCTTTTTGAAGCCGTATTGAAGAAATAACCTGTCACTCTGTTCACAGTCTGATAATCCATCACATTGCATCAGCGTAATGTTCTTTAGATTCTAGTGTCTAATCAGCATAAACAAAAAAAAAAACAATCCCATTAGGTTGTTTTTTTTCTTGTCTGATGTGAATGATGAATCTATTCCATAATGTCCAATTTCACACAGAAGATGAGATTGGATGTTTATTTTTCTTCTGTAGCTGCTTCTCAATTTTGTGAATGTGCAGCGTTCAACTGAACAGCAGAAAGCATGCAAAGAGAGCCCGGTGCATCCTACTCCAACCACACATCTGTTCCCATCATTTGCTGACAATTCATTGCAAGGATTTACTGCTTCATGTAGCTTAATCGTATCTGGGTTTATTCCAACTAAAAGCAACATCACTGAGTCTCAGCTATTACACGCAGAGAAGTTTGTGTGGGTTTTCATAGTAATTGGCCGACTGCTGGTGCCCCTGTGTCTCAAAACACTGAACACAAATACATACAACCAAGATAGCATACCTGACAATTATTATCATTTCTTCTTGCAGCACCTGCAGTGGCTTCATTTGTATATATTCTCGATCAAAGCAACACAAGCTGTTATGGAAGAACTGCCAATAGTTCCACACGACACGACGGGGTAAAAATATAGAAAGTAGGGCAGCTGTCTGATGTCTCGTTAACAGCACTCTGTAATATCGACATCACAGACAGTCCCATAGTGATACATGCAGACATGCATTGATACCTGGGTGCTCTTCTTTCTCCACTCCTTCCTCAAACTAGTCATTATGTCTTTTTCTGCTGTGCTGTTGTCACAGTCACAGGGTTTTGATTATCTCTGAGTTTGGGTTCAATTATCCCGGCATTTGAAATGTTGGGTTCCTGTTTTCATTTTGTTATTATTCTAAAGTGAATTTTCTTGTGAGGTGTCCTGTGTTACAGTTCATGCTTCAAATGTGTATTCTAGTATATTAAGCTTTCATGTTTTTGCAGAATGCAGACTAGGTTCTGGTTTCTGTTCTAGGATTATTCCTAAGAAGTTCCTGCTTTGAGTTTGTTGTTTGTGTTTAGTTCCCTAAATATTAGTTTAGTTCCCTGTCTGTTCATTCCTGATTTGATTTCCTGTGTGGATGCATCTGAGTGCTCAAAAGTTCATTTCTCTCTGTCTTCATGTATATTGAGACTTCTTGTCTCTGGGATCTGAATCGGGCTTCCTTCTTCCTTTGTGTTTGTTTTACATCCCACTTTGTTATTGTGCTGTTTGTTTTCACCTGTGACCTGTGTCTCATTCCTCTGCTGTTTCCTACTCACAATCAGCCCTCAGTGTATTTACAGTCCAGTCCTTTCTTAGTGTTTGTGAATGTTTCTGCTTTGGGTCCATTACTGTTCAGTTCTGAGCATTACACCCTTCATGATCATCTGCTCTCTATCTTTCACTGTTTTTTTTTCTTTGCACTTTGCTAAACACTGCTCAGAATAACGAGTAGTCCACTGTAGGTTAATTTTTAAGGCTCTGGCAGCACTCCTGCTGCCCCCCATGCAAAAAAAAAAAAAAAAGCAGATATGGGCCTGCTGCTGGGTTATTGCCCTTTCTACAGTCCTGCCCAGCTCACCTCATGTCTTCTCCACACTCTTAAGACTCTTAAGACTGTGTTGGGAAATGCAGCAAACCTTGCAATGTCTTGTACGGATGTGCCATCCTGGAGAAGCTTGACCTGCAGTGACAAAAAACAGAGGAAAATGAGTTAGGGGAGACATAAGGAGAAGGCAGCAGTCTGCTTCGTTTTTTGAGAGTTGTCTTGTTGTTGCCTCTCGAGTTTACCTATTCTCACTTATATCTGCACTAAAGAATGGACTCAGCAATGGTTTCCATGAGAACAATAGACAGTGAAGATTTGTGAAGATTTTCCTAGATATGTAGAACTGTTTGTAGTGGCTGTGAATGGTAGATAAATGCTATTTGAATGAATGTCACCATTTGGTTGTTGTGTCCTTGAGTTCCTTTTTGGCATGACAAAAAAAGAAGAAGAAGATAAGTGTAGTTACACCAGCAGTGACATTCTTTCAAAACTCAGTTACAGATCAGGTAAAAACATGTTTTTTCACTCAATTCTTCCTCCCCGACAGCACAAAAGACAGGTTATGTTTCTTTGTGGTGGTAATGCGTTCTAATTATGTTGGAAAGAGGTAACAATTTTTCACACCAAGAATGGCACCTCGCATAAATAGAAACGAAATTTCTTTTGTTTTTACCAGAGAAGACGGAGTGATTGCATTACAGCCTTTTGTGCTGCTGTCACTCTTCCAGCATGGTGGCGTCTATCTCATCGGCAAGCAGTCTCCAAACAGCAGCCTGTGCTTTGTCCTGCCAGAAGATGGCAAAATTGAATTGACATCTTTCTTGTGCTTTTATGGTAATATATTCGGGATGACTGAGGTCTTATGGTATTGTGTGGAAACACCACTCCTCCCCTCCCCATCACGTCTGCTTCCCCTCATCGTTTCCCAATATATTTCTCCATCTGCAAAGGCAAATGAAACCGACCAGGATCTGCCGTGTTCTCAATGCCAATTTCATTTGCCATGTGGATGGGGCTCACAGTGGGATTATGTCATGATTGGCCAAAACAATCAAACCCAGGCCTGCAGTCTGAAGTGCTGCTGCACTGTGCACTATTATCATTATAACCTTGAAAGACCTTCATGGGCAGAGAGAGGGAAGTCAAGAGGGCCTCGATGCCATTACTGTGCAAATAGCACCCCCTGTTGATCAGCAAAAAAAGGGGAATTGGCTGTGCACATGCTACACGCTTATGAGGAAAAGATCCCTTAATAATGCTGGGAATGGTGCTTTGATGCCATGTAACAGGGACGTGCAGAGAGGTTTAAAGGGGCGGGTGCTCAAAGTTAAAAAGGGGCACATTGAACCAGGCTGAATAACAACAACACACATTCATCAAGAATCTAATATGGGAAGGGCAGGGCTGTGTTGATCTGAGACTGTAGACATTAAAAAGTCCACAGGAGAGATGGTAGCTGATTAAACAAGTGTCATGAGATAATAACAAAATGCAAAGATTGGTGACAGCGCTTGGAACCATAAGGCAACAAAAAACTGTGAGAAATAATTTAGGCTCTGCCTGTGAATCACTCTTTGCTTCTCTTCTTCCTTCCTTCCCATCATTTCATATATCACTCTCCACTTGCTGTCTATCTGAGAACAAGGCACAACTTGCTATTGCAATAAACTATAATCTAATTATCCACACCTAACAACTCTTGCACTTAATCTATAATAAAATGATGACAGAAAAATGTTATAGCACTGCCTTTAGTAGCCTCACACAGCTGTTTCCTCCTCATGTCCTTACCAGCCATGTCTGGACAATGTTATATCATGAGTAATATTTTTTTAAATCCAGCTAAATAAAACACACACATGCACGCACACACAGTGACATTTTAGACCTTCTTCAGAATACTGTATATACTATGGGCATCCTTACATTATTATTTATTACTAGAGCTACAATAATAAAGCAATGAGGAGGGGGAAGTAATAAATATGAAATAATGTATTTATGATGATTCCATTTGTTTCACTATCCACTCTGTGCAGGGCAAAGCTTATTACATTTTTAAACTGTAGAGATACAATCATTTTACTGCTGTAAAATCCTAATTTTGTCTTATTTAAAATATAAATCTAATATAATCTGCTTCTTAATGTATGTTCTTTAAAATACAGCGTGTGTTTTTTTAATATATTAAAATTATAATAATTATTATGTGGACATGCATATTAGATCGTTTTTTAGTGAAATATAATCCCCCCAGAAAGGCAGGAAAAGCTCTGTAACTTACTTTAAAACTAAATATGTTTCTAAATACTTTAAAACTAAATATGTTCCCTAAAACGGTGACAGAGCTACAGACCCATGACAGCCTTACACAGGTAGCCAGCAGCTATGACCAGCACTACTTGTGCAGTTAATAAAAGGACAGGTAATGTTTGTCGCGCTGTTGCACACACAGCACGCTCGTTTGTTTCAGTTCGTCAGTTGCAACAAGACAGCTTACCAACGTGTACGTAATAAGCTAATACTCCTGGGTGCTACACACTACAGTGTGCGCTGTACACCTACTTACTGGGTTTGTCGCATCAGTCTGTGTCTCTGAGTTAACTTGTGTTTCTCCTACAGCTCCGGACCGCAAAAAATGCGCGTGCTCTTTGTGAGCTCGTTCCCGGCTCGTAACCAGCGCGTTCTGCCGTCGAGGGCGATCATTGGTTAAATGTGATCATGTGACTGATGCAAGCCAGATTCTTTTATTTAGCAAAACTGTGATTAATAGTTAAATATTATTGTTGAGGGGCACAGACAGGACTCCGCACGCACACACACATAAAAAAATAAATAAAAAAATAAAAAAAATTTAAAAGTTGCCTCAACAAAAGGGCACTTTGGGCACTCATCAGGAAAGGGGCGGGTGCTCAAGCTCAAATAAAACACTCTAGAGTTTTGTGATGAGGTTAGGGGCATTTTAAGCTTGAGCAGTATTTTTTATACTTATCATCTGTGTTACAAATTTCAACCCCCATCTTTGAAATTATTATTTCGATAAACCTTCAAATATGGTAGTTCAGGCCTTGTTGTCAATTTTTTTAACCAAACTCAAGCTCTCAGAAATGTATGTTGAACTTCAGCTTCATCGCAAAAATACTTCTTACCTTTTTCTGACTAATAACAGCGGAGAGCTAAAATTAAGCATTTTTGTTTGTTTGTTTGTTTGTTTGTTTGTTTGTTTGTTTGTGTATAGTATAATATGAGGTGGCCTGCCAGGAAACAGGTGGTTAGTTGACATAGAACAGAACAGGTTTTTTTGTAATACAGTAATGCGAACTAGTGCAGTTATTTGGTATCTTTATTTGTTTTTGTTTTAAGAGTTTGAATATTATGAAGACGTCGAAACGTGAACATTTTTGTCATCCAAAAACAAAAACGGCAGCAAAAAATTACTCCATGGTTTTTGAGCGTCAAATGAATCTTTTATTTTGAAAAAAAACGCCTCCTGATCCTGTTTCTTCCGGTGCCGTAGCCGTGTGTTCCTGGCGTTTGTTTCTGCTGTGGACTCAGGAGTGCATCTTGGAGGCTGTTTTCACATAAATAATCATGTCTCTGGAGGTGGAATCTGCAGAGTAAGTACTCCGCTTAACTATTGTTAAAGGAGTGTTATTATTAAAGTAAACTGGGTTTTAAAAGCTCCATATTTGATCACATTTTTGGGCAGTGAGGCCTCCTTCATCCTGCAGTAAACTGCAGTAGCGGTAGTTAGCGTTTTTGTGCTAAGCTAACGAGCTAACTTCCAGCCATACGCTGAAGTGTATGTAGTGTATGACTGGAAAGTGGAGTTAGGTACTCTTTCAACTGGCACTATGTGATATGAAATATTTGTTTTTTGATCATTTATATTTTAATCGCTTCTGTGTACTGCACAAAACTGAAAGAGAGGTGAGTAAATTAGCATTAGCTTAAGATGTGCGCTTCCCAGTCGCCGTAGATTCTGACATGAGCTGGAAATGTTACTGATTCAAACAAACCCAACCTGGACAACTCACTAAAGTAGCCAGATTACTTGACATATTAAGTCTGCTTCATTTAGTGTCAGTAACTCTACTTTTTGTCAGAAACTCGCGGTTTATTCAAAACTAGATTCACACTAGATTCAAAACGGTGCTCATAATTTGCTAATATTCAAAATCTCGCAGGAATCCATAATTGAATTATCTAAACTGAGGCTTTTTGCAAGAAAAAATACTAGTGAAAACATTAGTAGTAAGCATAGTGTTTAAATGACCACACATCTGTCTGCAGATTCTTACTCTTTAAAATGAAAATTGATGGCAAACACAGTAACAATAAAAAAATAGGGAAAGTTATTGATCACGACTGAAGGATTTGCTCCAAAGCAAGTTTAACATACAGGGATGCCACAGGATTTTTTTTTCATAGGGGTGGCCATTTGAGGGCAATAATAATATAGGGGTGGCACACCAAAAACAGAATTTCCAGTTTTATTATGTTGTTGTCAAATAAATATATATATATATCTATATATATATATAGATATATATAGATAGATATAGATATATCCAGGCCATCAACCCGTGATCAGGTACCCTGCTGGGGTAATAGGCTAGCCAAAGGAGGAGATAGAAGCCACTGACATAAAGACAAGAAAGCTCCTTACCATGCATGGAGGGTTTCACCCCAAGTCCAGCACCCTGAGGCTGTACGCTAAGCGGAAGGAAGGGGGCCGGGGACTGGTGAGTGTCAGCACCACAGTCCAGGATGAGACAACGAACATCCAAGAATACATTGGGAAGATGGCCCCAACTGACCGAGTGCTCAGTGAATACCTCAGGCAGCAGAAACCCAAGAAAGAGGAGGGAGACGAGGAACCATCATGGAAGGACAGGCCCCTGCACGGTATGTACCACCGGCAGATAGAGGAGGTGGCTGATATCCAGAAATCCTACCAGTGGCTGGACAAAGCTGGACTGAAAGACAGCACAGAGGCACTAATCATGGCAGCACAAGAACAAGCTCTGAGCACAAGATCCATAGAGGCTGGGGTCTATCACACCAGGCAAGACCCCAGGTGCAGGCTGTGTAAAGATGCCCCAGAGACAATCCAGCACATAACAGCAGGGTGCAAGATGCTAGCAGGCAAGGCATACATGGAACGCCATAACCAAGTGGCCGGCATAGTGTACAGGAACATCTGTGCCGAGTATAACCTGGAAGTCCCGAGGTCAAAATGGGAGATGCCCCCAAGGGTGGTGGAGAATGACCGAGCTAAGATCCTGTGGGACTTCCAGATACAGACGGACAAAATGGTGGTGGCTAACCAACCGGACATAGTGGTGGTAGACAAACAGAAGAAGACGGCCGTAGTGATCGATGTAGCGGTTCCGAATGACAGCAATATCAGGAAGAAGGAACACGAGAAGCTGGAGAAATACCAAGGGCTCAGAGAAGAGCTCGAGAGGATGTGGAGGGTGAAGGTAACGGTGGTCCCCGTGGTAATCGGAGCACTAGTGGGACTCCAAGCAGCAGTGCTCCGCGATCGGGAAAAATCGAGACGCCAAAAGGCGTCCTGGATAAATATATATATATATTAAATGTGTTGTCAAATATATTTATATACTTGAAAATTGGTTAGACAAGAAAAGATACATGATTGAATATTTCCATCACTAGAACTGTTTACATTGGACTTAGATTCCACTGATACTGGACGCCGCAGACTCTTTAAGTTATACCTCAGCAAGCCTGCACTGCGGATCAGCTTAAGCTTTGCAATTATGGGCCTCTATTTATTTATTGGGCGATCGTGGCTCAAGAGTTGGAGGCCTTGTAATCGGAAGGTTGCCGGTTCGAGCCCCGGCACAGTCTCGGTCGTTGTGTCCTTGGGCAAGACACTTCCCGTTGCCTACTGGTGGTGGTCAGAGGGCCCGGTGGCGCCAGTGTCCGGCAGCCTCGCCTCTGTCAGTGCGCCCCAGGGTGGCTGTGGCTACAATGTAGCTTGCCATCACCAGTGTGTGATGTGTGTGTGAATGGGTGGATGACTGGATATGTAAAGCGCTTTGGGGTCCTTAGGGACTAGTAAAGCGCTATATAAATACAGGCCATTTACCATTTAAGAGAAAACTTGTTGAGGAAAGACAAATGAGTATTAGATCATGTATGAGTGTGAACTGTTTGCCTGTCTCTATGTTGGCCCTGAGATGAACTAGGTTTTCTGCAACCTGATATGGATGAAATACCTATAAATAAATAAGACTTTTGACATTTTAAACACCACACAGATATTTCCATGTGTTTCACAATCAACTATTTACTGGTGCAAAACAAAATAATCTCTTGGCAACACATTTATTCAAAACAGTTTTATCCAGCCATCAAAGTTTATTAAAATGTATTACCAACATAGGACAGTCTTGCTAAAGGGGCCTCTGGGGAGGACAGCAGATTTTGCCCCCCTGGCACGCCCTTGGTGGTGCTGATGGTGATGATGATCTAGAACATAGTTTGAGTTTAGAAGTTATTAGTTCACTCAATTCTAAAATGTGTGCTGGACTTTCAGTGCATGCAGTACTGGCATTTCCCTACACTAATGAAAGAGAAATCACTTTAGTTTGTTCCCAGATTAAAGTGAATTATTTCAACAGATTTAATCTTCTCCATGATGAATAGCCAATAAATAGCCTACTCATGTTTTTCTTATCTATCTTCTTAGATTGGCTGCATTTGTGTCAGTATAATCAGACATTGCAGCAGATAAGAGTCAAGCATAAAAGCATTTATTTTCTGCATCAAAGTCTAAATGTATTTCAGTCCCAGTGATTATGTGCCACATTAATGCACCGTGGTGTTAGTAAGGCACAAACACTTATTCCAACACCAGAGAATCTATTTCACTCTTAGAGCGTACTGAAGACTTAGTGAATATAAAATGCAGATAATGGTATATGTTAGAGGTGGGAATCACCATACATCCCACGATACGATATTATCACAATACTTAACGCACAATACGATATTATTGCAATTTTTTAAAAATATTTTGCGATATTCAGATTCTGTACATAAAGGTAAACGTTATCAATATTCATTTTATCTAATATCAAAGTCTCACACTCAGTCTTTCTCTCATTTCAGTCAGTTTTATTGTTGACAAACTGAACGGTTTGTATTACAGTCTAGTCCAACTTAACTGAATGCAACCATCTGGTACAATTATAGCTATTCTGAACCATGCAATTTATGAAAACTATGCAGCCCCTTCAGCAACTGAAGAATTTGAAAGTAAATTAAAACAAAATATAATTTTACATTAAATAAAAAAGTTTTAAACTTAATTAAAATAAAACATGTCTTAAATTAAAATAAGTAAACTGTCATGTTTATTGCTGCCAAAAAAAAAAAAAGTTAAACACATTTGGACAGTGTCAGGATTCTTGCTGAGAAAAAGGATCAACATGCTCTGTCTCACGTTGTTTGTCTATTTTCACAGCGTGGTCCGTCTGATTATGCAGTACTTAAAAGAGAACAATCTGCACCGGACACTAGCCACTCTGCAGGAGGAGACGACAGTGTCTCTGAACACAGTGGACAGTATAGAGAGCTTCGTGGCAGACATCAACAGCGGCCACTGGGATACTGTTCTACAAGCCATCCAGTCCCTCAAGCTGCCAGACAAGACCTTGATAGACCTTTACGAACAGGTATGGTCTGGATAAAGTTTTGATTGACAGGTCCAGAAGACGCTGGCATCTTATCATCATCTGGGATTATACGGGGGGTGAGGGCTTGTTTGTATACAATGAGAAGTGTTGACAGTAAAGTGTGAATATTAGATTTAGAGAGTTATAGATTGATGATGATGATGATGATGATGATGATAGTACATTGAACTGGGCTTTCACACCATTTTGGATGGTGTCCAAAGCTTGGCTAAGTCCTCCAGCTTTATTTCTAATGGTTTCTGGTCAGAAAGGGTTTTTTTCAGGTGTTTCTTGTAATACTATCTTAATCCAGATGTTTTCTTTTCTAAGCATTTGTATCATAGCAAATCTCCCAGTGTAAGCATAGTAGATCTTTTTGTTTGTTTAAGTTGGGCCTTTGTGCTGATTCCCTCACCAGGTCGTGTTAGAGCTGATTGAACTGAGAGAGCTGGGTGCAGCTCGTTCACTGCTCAGACAGACCGACCCCATGATCATGCTGAAACAGACCCAGCCAGAGAGATACATCCACTTGGAGAACCTGCTGGCTCGCTCCTACTTTGATCCCAGAGAGGTGAGATAAATTGCTTAAAGTGACTCTTATTTATTTTTTCCATTTTTTCCTGAGTTTATTTTTTTTTTTTTCCCTCGTTTTTTTTCCCTCGGCTTTTTAAATCTGGAAAAATAAGGTTTTAAATCAGAAAGAACATCAGATTAAAATGTGCTGTACATTTTTAATAGATGTGCATGTTTCTTTCTTACGCATTGTTGAAATTCTATCCAGGCCTACCCAGATGGCAGCAGTAAGGAGAAGCGTCGGGCGGCCATTGCTCAGGCGCTGGCAGGAGAGGTCAGCGTGGTGCCTCCCTCTCGTCTCATGGCTCTGCTGGGACAGGTATGTGACCTGCAAATTTGCAGGTGTTGTACTAGTTTGTGAAACTCATTTGCCTCTTAATTTTACAAAAAAAAATAGGAATGTACAAGCAGAGTTGTCCTTGATTATAATTCTGCATGCATAATATCGACTCCTTGTTATTGTATTGTCTTAACTACACACTAT